GCACTGTTACATTTTTATAAAGCTTTAATGTACATAAAAACCAGCTTCTTGTTTAAGTGAAAATAAATGGAAGGTTGTCTTTTTGCGCTAGTAATGTTGTGGATCAATTATATCGTTATCGCAAATTTTCAAATATATATCGTGATAAATATTTTTGGCCATATCGCCCTGCTCTACTGTAAAGTGCAAATGGATCCAATCATCATGATCTCACGTTTACATAAGAGTAGCACTCACAGGGAGACTGTATGATGCTTTGTTAAATACTAAACAAGTTGGGCATTTTTCACTGACTTGGCTAGACAGTTAAAAATCAAGATACTGTATTAACTATTAATTGCATCCATTATTGCAGTAACAGTTTACAAAACTAGCTTCAGCTGCTCCCTTGACACAAGGAATCACTTGTAGCTCAGTAGCTCTGCTTGTCTCTGCTCTGACGATGCAATGCACTGCAACTTTATAAAAAAAATAAACAAAACAAAACTGCAAAAGCACAAAAAATAGAACGGGATTAGATAAAACAAAATCTCAAAAAACACAAAAGAAGTGCTTTACTTTGACAGAGCATCTACGGAAGTGAAAAGGTGCAGGTAATGTGTGTTTTAATTGGATGATTCATATAATCATGTTTGCTATTAGCCGTTTACTGGTGGTGCCTGGGCATGACACGGTGAGACCACCTCATGAACATTAACATCCGAAAGCGGCTGGGCATCGCACCAATCACGGAGAAGAGCAAGGAGTGCGACTGCGATGGTATGGGCGCGTGGTCAGAAGTGACAAAAACTTGTTAACAAGAACAGCACTAAGACTCGGTGACCAAGGGGCAAACCAAAAAGGTGATGGATGGACCGAATTAAAGACTATGTGAAGAAGATGGAGGTGGCTTTGCAGAAAAGCGGACCTCGCAGAGCGGGAATAATGCTAGGAGGAAGAAAAATAAGCTATTAGCCGTTTACTGTTAGCTTGCCAAGTCTGCAGCTTTTCCATCTTTATTTATTTTTTGGCTCCACAGAAACACTTCTGTTATGTTTTGTGTTCTTTTGCAGCGTTTTTTCTATTTGCTGGGTTTTTGTTTTTTGTTTTTTTTTAAGTTGCAGTGTGTTTGGCACCTCAGGGCCACCGTATATTTCTGACACAAACTCTGATATAGTTTTTGGTTCCTGGTGTAATTCTATAAATTAGGTTTTAACTATTAAAAAGTAATGACAGCTGCTTTAGGACAGAGAAGCTCTTAAAGAGTTTTTAGGCCTCAGAAACTGCTGCAGCTGGTGGAAGTGGCCTGGCTGGAGGTGTCATGTTTTCAGGTTTCCGTCTGCCCATCGGTCCTATTCTTGTGAACACGATACCTCAGACATGTCTTGAGGGAACTGCCTCTAAAATGACTTGAAAGGATTCGCTTGAACTCGAGAACAAACTTTGTAAAAAAGGTCTTTGAGGATGCAAATGAGCATGATTGGTCTGCTTGTAGATGAGGAAAAAGAGTTTGAGTTTTAACCTTAAAACCAAATCCGTTAATTTTGGTGTTTTTTTAGCAATTTGATGAGTAAAATATTTAAGTAATAAAAGCCTGCTTTAAAAAAATAGTCAGTTGAAAAAATATTTATATGACCGTTTTTGTGGTTTTCCTCTGGAGGGAAGGCCAAAACCCTCTCAGTGAGAGGCCCTGAACCTACATTTCACACTTCAGATGCTCAGTTTGTGACAATGATCTTTATCACCTTAAACCTCGAGTGACTGTAAAGATTGTCTTTGTTGCTGGGAGGAAGATGTGTAGAACATGAGGCTTACAATCTGTCATAGCTGTGTTCTGTCTGCTTTTTTTTTTTTTTTTTTTAATAAATACAGTTAAATTTCTTTAAAGTCTGTATTACTTTGTTTTACATGAGATGCAGGCTGAAGTGAAGGGTTGGTGGTTGGGGACACCATATCTAGGTTATTCTGTTGTTGTCATGGCAACAGGTGGGGTTGGGTGATGTGATGTGGCCTGATAACTGTCAAGAGATGTCTGTGGTGTTGGGTAAGTGAGCAGGGTAATAATGAATTGGCATAAGCGCATTAGACTGAATTAACCTTCGCTAAACACAGCTGTAAATGGAAGTTGATAAGTTGGAGTTTCACACAGTGTTTTTACTTTTATTTAAAATATGTGTGTTCTGTGCAGGAAATAAATGAAAACTCTGAGAAAAACTCGGATGAAGATGATGCTTTTCAGGAAACTGAGTGGATGGATTTTGCGGAAGGATACTACAGCAGAATGCAAAAGAAGGTAAACCTGATATTTAAAAAAAAAAAAAAAAAAAAATTCTCATGCTGTGGATTCTTTAAAAACACTTTTGCCTCCTCTTACGCTTTCATTGTCTCTTCTCCGTCCTCAGTGGCCGTATCGGCCTCGATCTCTGTGCTGCAGCCTGTGCAAGTACTCTTCACAAAACATCTACAACTTCAGGAGCCATGTCTCCCGCTGCCACGGTTACGTCCAGTCCTTCTGTGCGCTGACACCCTGCTCACAGTGCGTCTTCATCGGCCACCCCAAGGTTGTGAAGAAGCACATGCTGTTCTTCCACGCCAAACTCCCTGTGTCAAACACCCAGATACCGCTGCAGAGGGAAACATCTTTACCCACCCATCGTGGAAACGAGAGGTATCAGTGTCGAAGATGTGCGTTTCCCACCTCTTCTATCTTTGCAATGAAGAAGCACATTATTCTGAAGCACATGGAGAGTTTGGCAGAGCAGTACATCGGTTACAGGTTGCACCTTCAGGGGAATTCATCCGTCAAAGTGTATTGCTGCAAGATGTGCAAGGTGAACACTGGAACTCTAGACCAAATGTTGCATCACATGCTCATTGAGCCATCACATTATACAGTAAGCACACAAGTGCAGGTTCTGATTTATGAGAATAAGAACTACATTGTTAAACCGACTCCTAATGGGAATGGTGTGTTTGTGACATTCCCAAGTATTGCTCCCAAACCACAGCAACCTCAAATGCTCAATAGTAAATCTTTGGTCTTGCCAAGTAACGGCCAACCTGCTGGGACTGTAGTGACATTACAGCAAGTACAAGGGACTGCAAACAGTACCACTCTGATCTGTGCCCCTGGAACAAACCAAGCTTTCCTGCCACCTCAGGCCTCAGCGCTAGTGCAGCTAGCTAGTGCTGAGGCTAAAGGTTTGCTTCAGCCCGGTGCCACGATAGCCCTCCGAAGTGCTTTGCCCCAAGGACCGCCTATGGTCCAGCTTCCCACAGTTTCGAATCTTGCTCTAAAACAGGCGCCAGTGACCTTAACTCCCGCTTCAGCGCCTCCTTCAGCTCCTGCTCCTGCACAACAGACCCCACAAGCGCAGCAGATCCTCCTTCAGTCGGGACTGCAGGCGAACGTAGCAGCTGGACCTGGGACTGTACCCAAGCCTGCTGCAGTTACACACAGTTTAGCAACAAACCAAATCGGCCTACAAGGTACTATGTTGACTTCACAGTCTCTGCTGAGTCACCTGATCCCGACTGGCAACAAGGTGAACGGAATGCCCACGTACACTTTTGCTCCCCTGCAAGTAGCAGTGCCAGTCTCTCACAGCACAAGTACTGCCCTCAAGTCAGTTGAACAAATAAATTCCACGCCACAAACTAAGAAATGGATAACCTGTCCCCTCTGCAATGAACTCTTCCCTTCCAATGTCTTTGACATGCACACTGAGGTCGCCCACCAGACAAAATCTTCCTCGTCCAAGTCAGAAAGTGTAGCTGCGCGAGCTGCATTCCTGAAAAAAATGCCTGACAAAACTGTGAAATGTCTAACCTGCAAAATTCTACTATCAGAAAAGAGCGTCTTCCAGCACCTGCTGCATGGCTTGAATTGCTTGTACTGCTCAGCCTTGTTCTTCTCAATCAAACAGCTCATCGAACATGTAAAGCAGCACAATCCTACAAGCAAGGCATACTGTGATTTCCTGAGGCAGAAGTACAGAGTCTACTCAAAGGGTGCTGGAGGGATCCTGTTCCCTTATTTTGACGTTCACACCTCTGCGCCAAGAGAGATCCTTGGTGACGCAGAGGTCAAGCTCGCCTTGGTCACAAGTTCCCTAGATCTGATTTTCTTTAAGTTGCAGCCCAGCAACCACCCGGAAATCTGCTCCGTGCCCGTCAAAGTCAACAGCTCCTACTGTCCCTTTTGTGATGAAAAGTTTCAGCAGGAGTCAGACTACTTGCAGCACCTGAAACAGAAGCATTTTGTAGCACCCACTATCCACGCTATTCTCAAGACGGAGGCTTTCAAGTGCATATACTGCAACGGCGTGTACACAGGAAAGGTCACCCAGCAGGCTGTGATGCTCCACATTCAGCGATGTCGTTGTTCACCCAAGCCACAACAACCACCCACACCTGCTGCAGCACCCCAGCCGCCACCAAAACCAGCTCAGCAGGTCAATCAGGCTTCCGGTCTCTACTTCCTTCAAGTACCACAAGGGCTGACTATGAAACAGACATTGACTCCAGCTCGCGTGACTCCAGCTCGTGTGGCTCCAGCTCGGGTTGCTCCAGCTCGCTTGATTCCTATCGTGCGCCCCACAGAGCCTCCGGAAACCGAAGCAGAGCTGCAGTCGAAGAGGAGACTGGAAGCTGCGTGGCGGGAGGTCCTCGAGGCCAACAAACGAGAGCGAGAACACAGGGCAGCCATGCGCAAGAAGCGAGAGCAGGAGAAGTTGTTGCCTCCGCCAGAGCCCGAAGTTCAGAGCGACACGGCGGTCAAGCTGCTCCTGGAGCCCACCCCAACGGAGCGCCGCTGCAGCGAGGAGCGTAGAGACTTCATATCCAAATACTTCAACGTGAACCCGTACGCGACCAAAGCAGAGACCGAAGAGCTGTGCAAGAGGCTGTCTCTCACCAAGGCGGAGCTGGCGGCGCTCTTCAGCAAGAAACGCAGCAAGTGCATGAAGAGTCTCAAGAGGAACACTGCAGGCATCCTCCTCGGCTTCAACATGGCCGAACTGAGCAAACTCAAGCACAACCTGGTCATCCCGGAGCAGCAGCCTGCCGAATCAGCAGCTGACACGACAGAGGAGATGGAAAGCGGCGAAGACGCACCAGAACCGATGGACGAAAGTGGAAATGAAAAAGTCACAGATGGGGAGCAGATGGAATGAGCTCAGAAGTGCGTGAAAGTGGAACCTGAAAAAGTGCAAAAAAATTAATAAAAATAAAATAATGCATTTAAAAGAAGAAAATAAGCTCATTAATAATGACCACGTTTGTGTTAACAGTCATCTGAGAGGTTGACCATGCATTGTAAATGGATGATGTATAACCTTACATAGAAGCTTACCTGTAACAGAGGGTGGTTTATTAATGTAGCCTTCATTATTAGTGCTTCGTTTGACTTCAGTACATCGTCAGTGGTCCATATTTTTCCACAGAAATGCAAAGCCTTGTGGGAAAGCAGGTCCAAGTGTATTGTCTGATACGTTGCATTTAGCTAGATACGATATCTCTTTCCACAATGGTTTCAACTTAAGTGCTTCTGCCTCTTTTTGCAATCATTATTTTTGTTCATTTGTATTTGGTGCACACCGCAACACAAACAAGCTGATCAAACCAAGTTTTCCCTTTCCATGTTTGTTTGTTTTAACCGGTTCTCACCTTTGCCTTTTGATTTCCGCCACTGGATCTTTTAAGATTACTCACTCCACTTGTCCCTCAACATTTATACAGTTTAAGGAGATTACTATCTTTTTTATTTTCTATTTTTTTTTTTTCTCGCCCAGCTCACCAGCTCATGTGGACCTACTGAGATGGATGCTCATCTCACAGTGTGGAAGTTAATCTTTTAAAGAATGTATAAGTGTTTTGAGTTCTGAACTTGCTGTTGGCCATGTTCCCCGCATGAGCCTTTGTTTTACTTTCAGATTAAATTATAATTTGTGCCATTGTGAAGTCTGCGCATTTCCTCAGATTTGAGGAAATTGTTCGGGAGATTCAGCAGAACCTAGAACGTGTTATTGGGTGTTCCCCGCATCGGTTTTCTGTTTTGTTTTCTATATACTTGTATTTTCTATAAGTCCAAGAGTATAAATATATTGAAATATTGGGAGGCGTTAAAATAAATACACTGTCCAAAGCCACTGTGGTGTAAACAAAATAACATGGTTTCCTTTTACACGAATGGTCCATTTTTATTTTCATTTTGTAATAAAAATGTAATTTTTAATTAAGCTGTGTTAAAGCATCCCAAGGTATGTTTTTATTTTCCTTTTTTCCCCCCTGTGTGTAATTACAAACTGCAGGCCCCTCTTTCTTTTCCTTTTTTCACAGAAGTGAACAAACTGGTTTAAAGTCATAATACAGGCAGTGCATTATGTGTAATAAAAGGCGGACAAGTTTAGAGTCTTAAGGGTGTGTCATCAGTATTTAATATACCCCAGAGGAACACTGTGGTAACAAGTGTCTGCGCTGCATATTTTTAGTCTTTGAAATGAAACACATTTTTCAACACAATCTATTTGCTCAGCGGTGATTAAGACGTGGTTTGTGCTGGGCTCAGCCAAACGTCTCGTTATTAAATTGCATGCATTATTAAGTTCTGTCCACACAGTGGTGCCACTTTCATAACATGAGAGAGTTATTTGTGAAACAAAAAACATTTTTCCCTGTCCTGTTAATTATATCTCAGTCTCAATCTTGTTATATAATGGTAATCATTTATAATCATGTTTGAGGTTAAAAGGTCCATAATCTGCAAAAAAAGAAAACAAAAAAGCGATAACTTCCTCACCACAGTTCCTCCACCAATTAGCTGCTTTATATCTCATTCTGGTGTATTTCTGCTGACTTTCATTTCCAAGTTCAGGAACCTGAATTTGAACTGTTTAATCTCAGGTTCGTGATCATTGGGATTTGGTCCAGGATCGAGGGGCCGCTGTAGTTGTTGGTTTGAACGGCCTCCAGGCTCTTCTTGTACTCTACGGGGAGTCCGTGCTGCTCCGCGCCCAGACACACCACCTTACGTGAGACACAGCGTGATGCATACATGAGCAGATATTATGTTAAATATTACGTTTTGTTTGTTTGTTTTTTTTTAAAAAAAAAAAAGAGATTTGTGTTGCAATGTACAGTAACACTCCCTGGCCACTTTATTAGGTACACATGTTCAGCTGCTAGTTAGTGCAATCTCTAATCGCCCACCAATCTCATGGAACCAACTCTGTGCTTTTACAGATGTAGACATGGTTGAAGATCAGAACAGGAAATATAAGTGATTTAAGTGACTCTGAACGTGTCGTGTTGGTGACGGATGGTCTGCTGATCTGCGATTTTCCCACACAAGCATCTCTAGAGTTTACAGAGCATATTCTGCAAAAGAAGAAATTGAGACTCTCTGTGTGAAAATATCTTGTAGAGGTCAGAGGAGAATGAGGAAAATTAAACTTAATGAGTTGAACAACAGAAGGCTGGGAAAACTGTGGCTTGGTCTGATCAGTCTGGAGTTCTGCTGCAGTGTTCAGATGGTAGGAAAAATTAATGTAAACAATATGAAAGCATGGATCCATCCAGCCTTGTTTCAACAGTTCACGCTGGTACTAAGGGAGTAGGGGCTATTTTCTTTGCACACTTTGGCCTCTACTGAGCATTGTGTAATGCTACAGCCTACCTGAGTATTGCTGCCTGAGTATGTCGCCTTTATAACCACACTGCAGCCATCTTCTGATGGCAGCTTCCAGTAGGATAAGACGCCACGTCACAAAGCTCAAATCATGTCCACTCAAATGACATCCACAGTCACCAGATCTCAGTCCAGTAATGCACCTTTTGGATGTGCAGCTGACAAATGTGCAGCAACTGTGTGATGCTGTCCTGTCAATATAGAGTAAAATCTCTGATGAATGTTTCCAGCACCTTGTTGAATCTGTGCTATGAATAATTAAAGCAGCTCTGAAGAAAAAAAGGATGGTCCAACCTGGCGCTAGTAAGGTGTACCTAATAAAGTGGTGAGTGAGTGTATCTTATTGCATTGCATACTCTAAGAATCAGGGTGTTTTCCTTGCACCTGTTTGTATTGTGGCGAGGGAGGACAGGCGTGGAAGTTGTTCATCTGATACGTCCTGCAGAGCACAGTCCCGTTATCAGTCTCCACTGAGACCTCCAGTGGAGAGTATACACCAGCCTTCACTGCTTCCTGGCTAAAGAAGAACAAAAATTTAAAAAACAAAACAGTTGGTTAAAAGTACACAAATTAACTCAGAAATGGACCAATAGCTGCGTGTTCATGTGTGGCTCTCACTCATCAAGGCTTGAGAGGTGTTCGTTGTTCAAAGTCCAGATGACCCCCCACACTTCTGCGCCTGGATACGACTCAATGGTTGCCACGCCACCGTGCCAAGCATTGTCTATGTGTTCTTTCCACAGGCCAAAGTTCAGTTTGTAGTCCTATACACACACAGAACAATGCCCAGTCATTATGTGGAGATTTGCTACTTCTAATGCTCTTCATCTGAGTGGGAAACACTTTTCTTACCTTTAACATTATCTGCAGCTGGATACAAAGTAACAGCATTTCAACCAAGTCTCTTTGTTTTACTGTTATAATGTAAGAAGGGTGTTGTTTGTGATTTCAGCAGTGCCCCCCCCCCCCCTCTCCCGTGAGCTTGTTTTGCTGTTATACCAGAGTCAAACTGCAGTACACCCGAGTCCTGTTATTACAGCTGGCACATCAGAGGAGGAGGTAGAGCAGCAACCTTTATTTGGCCAATCTAAGATGCTAATGCAGGAGGGGGCTGACTCAGTTGTTTTCCATATCCTTCATTCCTTCAAGACTTTTGAGAAATAATAAATTGTCATTTAAACTGCTCGTTGACAAAGGAGGGTTGAAAATAACTAGTAAATATCTCCCTCTTGGTACAAACGTGGTTAATGTTTAAATTTGTTTTTGCTAGCTAATGATCTGACACAAACAGGGGAGGTGCAACTCTCAGATGAACTCAGCTTCATCGGCCACCAGTCAAATCAATTATATAAACCACATTTAAAATTTTGGTATGATTTACGATAACTGTACTGTTTAATTTTCCATATAAACAAAAAGGAAGAAGGACTGCTACTGTTTACAGCTAAAGTATATAGTTTTTGATTTTATTATGAGCTCATCAATTTCCTATAGTTTTGAATTTTCTAATTAATTTGAATTTTTATTCAGTTTAGTTTTTTTTTTAAATTAGTTTCAGTGTCAGTTTTAGTCCTCCAGCATATGAAGGGCATGTGCTGGAGAAACAGAATAAAAACAGAACTTTTTCAAAGCAGTTGGCTCACAGTCTTGTTGACATCCGAAGTCTCATCGGGCAACGTGTGAATATAGATTTTTACCAAACTACTCAAACTAGGGATATTTTCCTCTATGCTTTCTGTATTATTACTTATTATTATTTAGTTATTATTCCAAAGTTAAGCTTCAGTTTATTAATTTTTTCTACTTTTTATTATTGCTGAGCCAAAAAGTGATTTCCAATGTTTCTTTGTCTTTATTACATGTAATATTTTTGCTTATGTTGATAAATGCCCTTATGACTCAGCATTATTGTACCTACTCTGCGTCCTACATTATAATCAATCTAGTTCTTTTTTATACACACATATACTACAATTATTGCAATTTCCGATTCCCTTGTGTCCATATCTCTTTAAAAAATAATATAAAAAAGACAGATTAAATTGATAAATTAAGGCTATATTAACCTCACACTGGAAAAACACCTGATTGTACTTTCTACCTAATACTGACTTGATATCATTCGTGAAACATTTTGGACAGGTTATAGACGCACAAATCACTTTTTGGACGACACCTCTGGCTAAAATACACTGCGGTAAAGTGAGCCGTCATTTGTGAGCCGCGGTCAAGCCAGCCGCCTCCTATCCGCCGCATAAATTTCCTTGCGCTTTTACACCAGTCTTTACGGTAGCGCCTTTTCGCTTTATATCCTGATTGAAAGCCTAGACTCGCGCGCACATGCACGTGCGTGAACAGTCACACGCACGCGCGCACACAAATTACAATGGAACAGCCCAATACAGCCATCGTGACAGTCTGGTTGCATATTCAAAAATTCATTAAAAATCATTCTTAAAAGTTGATGCCAAGCTTTCAACACAATCCTCTTCTCGGACACCTACTTTACCTCTGGGCCATTTTTTTACCCAGATTTACTGTAATATTACTCAGAAATCACAGTAAACTCATATTCAGTGCAATACAGTCAATGCACTACAATTATGTTTATTTCAAAAATTCATTAAAAGTCATCCTGAATAGTTGAGGTCCAACTTTCAACACATCCCTCCTCTGGGACACCTACTGTACCTGTGTGCCAAGTTTCATCCAGATTTACTGTAGAATTCCTCAGAAATTAATGGAAACATTTATTCAATGCAATACAGTCAATACAATAGAATTATGTCAATTTTCAAAAATTCATTAAAAATCATCCTGAGTAGTTGAGTGTCCAACTTTCAACAGATTCCTTCTCTGGGACACCTACTGTACCTGTGTGCCAAGTTTCATCCAGATTTACTGTAGAATTCCTCAGAAATTAAAGGGTACTTTATTCAATGCAGTACGGCCAATACACTACAATTATGTCAATTTTCAAAAATTCATTAAAAATCATCCTGAGTAGTTGAGTCCAACTTTCAACACATCCCTCCTCCGGGAAACCTGCTGTACGTCTGGGCCAAGTTTCAGCCAGATTTACTGTAATATTCTTC